CATGATGCACAAAAATCTTGCACACTGACCAAGATACAGGTTTTTGCCATAAGCAAAACAATGCAGAACATAATTATATGTACATAAAAGTTTACCATTAGTTAATTTACAAATACAGATTTCTTTGGTTGCAATAAATGCAGAAAATACTTTTGAACGTCCGACATTTAAAAAAACAAACATTTAAGATGAATCATAGCCTTGCATGATCATTAAAGCTGCAGACTTGAGGAAAAAGATGAACCTCTCAGTCTTAAACATCCTTGAAGCGACTGGAACGAGATCACTGTGCTTATGGTGTTGAAGCTGAATGGAGGGACAGTAATGAGCTTTTCACTATTCAAAATAAGAGTGGGCACACAAGCTCAACTGAGTATTTACTCAAAGACACACAGGGAGGAAAAATGAAATGATGAAGCACCAGAATAAGTGTGAGGAAGCACCCAAAAAAGGTCCCCCCATGAATAATGAATACTGCTTTTATATCCTCCTCACTCGCCTCGGATACTCCTGTTTTACCCTCCTCTCACCATCTCTCCCTCCATCCTTCCTCTCCTACGCTGTTTCAGTCCACGCATGCTATCTTAAGTCACATCAGGGTAAGGGAACGAAGAGGATGCAGTCATCCGGGGCTAACACAGACTCATCACACTCCCCGGCACGTGACTGGGTCTACAACCATGACACAACTTTGCACAAAGTGCAACGATTAAATGCAGGCCTGTTACTTCATATAGATGTTCCTACCTGTGTATTTGCTAGAAATTAGCCAATTCTCACCTAAGCAAATTATCCCTAAAAGCAAGTCTATAGTGAGCAGAACCAGAACTGATCCAACACACTGTGTGAGAACAAAGCGAGCTGGGAAAACTGTTCCTCACATCCTGCTGGAAGCAGCAGTCAAACAGGAAGACTTTACATTAACACTGTAAATATATTGAGGAGTTATGAATAGAAAGCAAATCCACCTCACCATGTGTGCTGTTGTGAATTTCAAATGCCAGACAAATTTGTGAGTTTATTATTTGCTCACAGTGGTGCAATATAAAAACAACTGGAGAGCCTTTATCTTTCCTGAATGTGAGGGAAACAAGAGATTAACCAAATAGGCATGCTGAGATAAACGTTCAGAATTATTTTTTCCCAAATTAGAATGCATTTGATTACATGAATTGGGGGCTGATACAGCATCAAATAAGCTCCAAATTGCAGAAACACAGACTACTGGTCTGTTTTCAGGTTCTTTTCTTTAAATGCTGAATTACAGTAAAAATGGCCGTGTGTATGTGTGTATGTCCAGTTTCAGGTTGGTCATCAGCTGCTTCTGCTCTACAGCACGAGCCATCCCATTCACCACCTGCTTGTGCAACCCCCCTCCACCCCACCAGGGGCGCTACAGCCACTACGAGGACTCACCAAGATCCTTAGAGCCTTGACTTTCGCTGGCCATCTCGCCCATCCGCACCAGAGCGTCGAAGTAGCCCTTTGCAGCATATGTGACACCTGGAAACATGGAAGCATTGGGCATCAGATCAAGGGTGCGGAGTTGAAATGATGTCTTCTTCAGCTCTGCAACCCTCCCCTACAGCCACCCCGAAGAGAGGTAAGGTTGGGCATGGGAAATAAAGAGCGACAGGCGGAAATGGAGACCAGGCAGGAAAAGAAAAAGCTCTATGGAGGCAACTACAGGAAACAGAGATAAAGCTATAGAGACTATTCTCAAGCACAAGGAGTAAAAAAATGGCAATGCTGTCTTCAGCAAAAACCACTTTGGAGTAAAAAGATAAAACATCTCTGAAACTTTTGCAATCACAAGGATTGAGTTCTGGTAGCCAGTTTCATTTTGGGTCCAATTCCAGGTTGGTGAAATATGTGGAACTGACCCTTCCTAAGTCCCACCCCTTTTTGCTCTGTGCTCCAATAACAAAACGCTACCTAACTAACAAACTAATTCATCAATCATTAATTAGCTAGTTAGTTAACATTAACTTACTTACGATGTGAGTATCTTTTAACAAAATCTTCAAAATATGGTTACAGGAAAGGAGAAAGTTGAATGAGGTTATGCTAAGCTCAGAGGAAGACAAATCTTTTATCAAATCTTTAATCTCTACTCCCTCTTGTTTTATCACAAAGTGCAACATGTTAGAGAAAGAAGCACCACTCTGCAAGCAGGCGTACAGACCAAAAATAGCATGTGTTACAATGCAAGAGGCTGCGCTGGGGGGGGGGATTTTACATCGAGTGAAATATGAAATATGAATTCCGCTGTATTCTATAAAACAGTTGTACAGCTATAATCTGGCTGATAGTGTCTCATTATTTTCAGCAGTTCAAATCTCCCAGTAAATGTTTCATGTAAATCATCTCAATATTTTAAGATCAGTAATAGTTCTAACAGCTAAAACAAAATGTGGATCCAATACTGGGAATCATGAGATCCAATAAAAAGCAATCAAACCCAACCCTAGCAATCGGTGAATTGAGTTTAATATACTTGAAGCACATGGCTAGATAAGCAGACAAATCAGTTTTTTGGTCATTTGGATGAACTGAATCTTTAAAATCCTTAACAACACAATCTTAACAACTCTCTACTTGAAAGTATGCTGACAAAAAACTTTCCACAGCAATGGTGTCAAAGCACTCTGCAATTCAAATACTGTATGTCAGCCATTATTCTCTGCGATGCACTGTCACACAAGCCAGGGACACTGGCTGAGACATGACGGTGACTCAGGCCTTAAAAATTGGGGACAAGATGGCCTCAAGCAGCAGTGACGGTGAGTTAAAGCAGGTCAGGGGTTAGCCACACAGGGACTGACAGCCATGATGACAGAGGACACGTGTCCAGTCAGGAGATACATATGGATGAGGGCTGAGTTTATTACTGGGCTGTCATGTTGATGGGTGTTTGTGCTTTGAACTGCCAGAGGACACTCATGCAGAATCCCCAGGAGAGGGGAAACATGAGTATTTATATCTCCACATGGAAAACAATGTAAAGCTATTCTGAGTTCAATTCTAGTTTTACTTGGTGACGTGGGTCCACAGAGACACTGAGGAAAGCTCACTGCTACTGTTTGCAAGTTATTGTTCTGGGAATGAAGACGCCGTCTGGCTGCTCAGTCTGCAAACATACTTAACAATTTTCAATAAGACAATTTTGAGGCAGCCTCAGAAATAACTTGGCCTGCTTTCAGTTCTTTATCAAAACCATGAACTGAGATAAAAGCCAGAAAATCTCTACACAGCGGTGCAACCCTCCCGGGTAAGCCATGACAGACAGACAAGCCAAGACCCTTTTCTGGCTCTTCCTAAGCCTCGCTTGAGTTAAGCCTAGGTGGGATATAACTGTGTGAGAGAGCGAGGGGATCGAGGTGAAGCTAAGGCTGCTGGTTGAGCATCGCTAATTTAATCGATGTCCAGAGAAATTGCAGCCGGGGGGGGGAGCAGGGCCAGTTGAGGCAGGTTTAGCTTTAGGGGATGCTTTGCTTGTCTGTTGGCTGAAAAGTGACAGAGTGAGGAAGGTGGGAGAGGAGAGCAAGGAGGAGGAGGGTCTGCCAGTAGAGAGGATTAGAACAGTGATATAAAGCTGATACAGAGCGGAGAGTATCAGTGTAAATGAAACACAAACAAGAAAGTCTAGATCAGCTGAGATTGGTGATCCATCAAGTCTTCCACAACGTCAATCAAATCCCCTTCTCACATTCCCTCCCAGTAAGCATTGATTTGATGATTTGCAGGTCCAAAGACATCCAGACATCTACGTTAAACCTGGACTAAACATTTTTAGATGTCTATACATTACATGCAACTGTCTGACATTGTCATAGTTAGTGTAGCTAGGACCTGTATCCCATTGAAATTAGTGCTGAAACCATTAATCGATAGTTTTAGACAACAATATTGATAACCGATTAATCATTTATCAAGCAAAAATGTTCTAGTTCTAGCTTCTCACGTGAGGATTTCCTGTTTTTCTGTTTCATACCATTGTTTATTGAATATCTTTGGAAAGTGTAGAACAGAAACACAAACAAGCAACAAAACAAGCCATTAAAAAGATTTCTCTTTGGGCTCAGGGAATATATAAACAAAACGATCGAATTGACTAGCTGAAGAAATAGCTGGCATATTATTCAGAAATAAATATAATTATTTGTACTCCTATGTGAAATAAATCATTTAATTTCAGTTGAAACAACAGTAATTTAGATCTCTGTGCCAAATGTAATCCAGCTTTCACCCGGACTACATGTCTTCTGACCTTCAAACTACCACATCAGTGCTTACTGGCTCGCTTTCCTTTCACACATGTAGCCTCTCCCAAGTGAGATGTTCTCTCTGCCCCGCAAACCTACAATATTTTTCAGCCTCACAGCTCCTGTCTGCTACAGTGCCCACATAAAGATTTTAATAAAGACTAAATTCCAGCTATAACCCCAGCTATAACCACATCCAGAACCACATCCAGAACCACATCCAGTCCAATCAAGCCCAAACACTTTTAGACTCAAACAAACAAACCAGACCAAGTCAGCTTCCTGCCTCCATCCTGCAGGTTTTCAAAGTCCCCAGAGACGCAAACCTGACGCCCCAGTTCTACAAAAAAAAAACAGAGGCTGCACTGGCATTTTTACTGTGACAATAGATACTCGCTGGGTGCCCAGCCCTGCTCCGCACTGCTCTACTCTAAACCCTGCCTCTGTGCCGCTGCCTGGCATTGATGAAGTGTAATCCCCACTCAGGGAGTCGCAGGGCTATTTTTAGCCTTATCAGACTGGAGTGAGGCCTCCTTTATTGGTCTTGTGGGCTACTGAGTCTTCCCTGCATTTCCGACTCCAAACACATGAAGAAGAGCCCTCCTTAACACTGTGTACACAGCATACCAAGCACGGCTGCACCATCATTGAAAATATATGATACGATCCCGATAACCTCCTTTCTGCAGAGTGACATCAAAGAGTGGAGACGAAAAGAGGATTTCTTATCAATAAATGAGCTCAACATGTACATGGCCAAGCTAACAGCGTTTCCCACCTAATCTGGAAGTATGAAATATCTTAATCTCTGCTGACTGCATGACTCTAATCAAAGTCCATGAAACACTAGCTGATAAGCTGATGGATGTTCTTCAGGACAATGATGAAGGAAGGCTATGCCTATTTCTGTTTATGTCACATATTTCATTTTAAAGTCAGTTTCTTCTCTCCATCTCCTTTTGTTTTTAATTTTTTTTACCCCGTCTTGTCCTGGATATTGGCTCGGTCTGTTCTCGTTTCCTTGGCCCCGTGGGGGGGAGGCACCGTTATTCTCACGACTCCTCCTGTTCCACTTCTCATTGGCTTATGCTCCACTTAGCTCCCCAAGATATTTTCAGTGCTTTCGTCTTTAACCTTGAGCCACTGCTGCATTTACACCTCAATCTCTCCGTCTTTTCCTCTTTCACACGCTCGACCATGCAAACACACCTGTGCAAGCCACAAAAAGCAATGACAAAGGATGTACAGTGGAGGCAGACATTTAAGATCAGCGTTGGAGGGACAAAGACGTGTGGACATGGACATCATCACAGAGAAACAATCAGAGGACATCAACCCAAGAGTGTCAACTCTGATAAGCAAATCTTTAACATTGGAAAAAGATCTTCAGTGAAAAAAACATTATTTGGACAGAAGATATTCTGTCTCTGCAGAGGAACATTAAAGTTGTCACTTTTGCAACAGAGCAACAAGCTAGCTTCTGTAGTTCAATGCCTAAAAAAAGATTCTGGAGGGCATTTGCAGACGTCAACAACACTAGAAACTAATGAAAATCTATGTGTCGTCATCACACCACATCTCTGCTCGAGATAGATTAAGAGGATATAAAAGCAGCACCAAGTGTCGGGTCAGTTGGCCCTCTGCCTGGACTACTGGACAGACAGAAGGAATGAAAAAGGGACGACAACAGAAAGAAAACAGGAAACTGCTAGTGTACTCACTGGTGAGTGCCTTCTCGTAGCTCTTTCCCATGGCTATGAAGTTCCGCAAGCAGGGGTTGAACTGCTCCATGATGGACTGGAAAGGGAAAAAAACAGCACGTTTGGTTAGTCAAGTAGCAGGAAAGGAGACACCGACACAAACACAGATATGAGCTACAACGACAGAGCACCACTCTTTACTGGGGCATGACCACACACACACACACAGTCGTACACACAGCAGAGTCAGCTGAGCCAACCAGGAGGAAGAGGAGTGCAGCAGGGATTCATTTCAAGCTCACGGCGAGGATTGAAGGGACGAAATAGAGGGAAAAAGAAAGAGAGAGAACAAGTCACAGGGAGGGGGGTACTGTTTCTTCTCACCTCCCCTGCTGTCTCCATTAAAATTAAACCTGGTTTTGGCTGCTGACTCACATAGCTCAGCAGCAGACCTGGACTCATCACTGTTTCCCTCCATTTCCCTAACACTCTCTGAACTCTGGCACACTGCTCCTGCTAATTGCTTTTTTCTAAAGGGTCAGTTCACCAAAATGATATATAAAACACATTTTCTCACTTGTCTCCTGGAATCTATCTATCGATCAGTATGGCTACATTCAGCTATAGTCCTTTTATAACTGATACCATGTCATCATTTGGCACCATAGCAACACCCCAGTCAGGTCAGAATATGCAAGTGAAGTCAGCTGCATCATATCGAGATGGATCAAGAAACTGCAGAATTTCAAGCGAGGCACAGCTCAGAAAGTTCCTTAGTAATAGAAAATATGAGAAAATACAAAATACAGAAATAATGAAACTATACATTCCATTGCAAGTCAGATTTGCAACCAAAAATATTTGATCAACTTAAAAAAATCTGACTTTTTATTAAATTGTACTGTAAACACACATTGACACATTATCACCTTATAAAACTGTTATGGGAAACAATTGCCTATTTACACATTCAGCAGACATGGAGCAACAACATACCTTCACATGGAGTCGTGTTACTGTTTGTTTCACTCCCTTATGGCTGTGTTTTTGTCTTCCCCAATTTGTGAGAAACATACGTGGCTCTAAAGCTGCTAAATGCTCCACTATGTCCTCCAGGTAATTCTGTTGGAAACAACTGTCTGCTGCTGCTAGGCTGATGAGAGCTGTGGGAGTGAACCAGAACACTGACATCGCGGGCCATGACCAAACCATTGAGCTGAATACGCTAAGCACTCTTAGCAGCACATAGAGCTGAGGTGAACTGCAAGGTCACACAATAATTCTTATCACTACTAGTTCGTTATTACAAGCGTTGTTTCACTCTTTTCAATGTTAATATAAAAATATTGATGAGTGGCGTTAATATTCACACCAAAAACACCTAAAACTTTGGAAAAGATTTTTTTCTTGTGTTGCACTACAAATCTTGCACCAAATTATATGAAACACTGATCAGAACAGACAGTTCTGAATGCTCTGAAGTCATCAAATCCTGTAGGTTTCAGCTGCAGCACTGTAAATATTTTACAGTGAAAACTGTGAGAATAAGAGGAATAAGTCAACCACCAGGAACATCAAAGAGGACTAAGACAGATCTGAGGGTAGTTTTGGTGATCAGTGCAGATTTAATAGTCAGCAATATGAGATATGACATTGATTCTTGCATGATGTTCTAGGTGATCAAAGGACACAACCAGAACTGAATTATTCATGACAGATACACATAAAGGCACATATTTAAATAAATATATGATCTAAAACTCATGAAAGATGACAAAGTATGTCAGAAAACAAGCCCTCATTAATAAGTGAATGAAAGTAAAGAAGAAATGTATAATGAGTTTTACTGCCTCTGTCAGGCTCTGCAGTGACTCAACCTCCCCCTCAGTCCAAGCTGCCCTTTCACTCCTGCTGTATCTCCGGCAAAACCCAGCAATTTAAAAAACAGCAATTCTCTCTCTCTTTGACTTTCTTTTCGAACTTTGAAATGGCAGAATTGTCAAATGAGCAGCAAAGGATGGAAGGAGTAAGAAGGTAAAGGGAGTGAGGGATGAGTGTGAGACACAGGAGGACTCAAGACAGAAGAAAAGATGAGGGCTTTAACAGTGCAGTGACCGACATGCAGCCGTTAAATTATCAAGATCTGGCCACATCAGTATTGAAAATGGCAAACCTTTGTGGCAAAATATATTAATTCCAATGGAATTGCAGTCATGGGTAAATTCGCGCTCACTTTGAGTTTGTTAATACCAAGATGTTTGACCTTTGAGCGAATGGAGAGCCCAAGCGTCTAAAATGGAGGAAGCTACTGTAGCTTATTAGCAGCATCATCCACTTTCCTTTAACTCCCTCTGTCCAAGCCACTTTCACGCCAAATTGTGTAATAGACTCGCCTGTCCACTGTCGTTCTACCATGTCAGCGCCACATTTGCCTCGTCTAGACGTCTAAACACATACATATTCTGCGGTCAAGTTAGCAATACAAAATATGCAACATGCTGTTAAGACTTCCACAATAAAACATGACAGTTGCTGTTTGGTTAGGTTTAGGCAACAAACTACTTTGATAAAAAAAAAAAAAATCTGTTGGTTAATAAGTATGTGAGTTACCTAAGTTAAGTATGTTCATTCAGTACATTATGCAAGTTAACTTATGTAAGTACATAGGAGTGTATGGTACAAATATATCTTTGAATAAAGTGGCGGTTAGCAACTGAGCTAACAAGCTATTGTGAATGACTAATGCATGTTCCTGGCTGTCTTGCTCGCCAGATATTATTAACCAACTAGCCCTGCAAGTAGTCTCAGTCACAAGCATCCAGAACCGCATATTTTCCAAAGATGTACGGATGAATTTCACTGTTCCATTTTCCTGTATGACTTGGCCTCTATTCAGTACTAGTTTAGTTGAAAGGCAGCAAGGTGTTTTGAGGTGGAAAAAAGCCAAAATATTTTACAGCCCTGGAGGAGGAGGAGAAAAGTAAGAAGACTAAAGGGGACAGAGAGAACAGAAGAATGAGCATAAGGCAAGGGGAGAGGAGGGTACATTTGAGGTTGACAGACACATCTTTTCGTGGCTGGTCGCTACGAGGGATGCCTGCTAATACCCGCGGGCTGACGCACAACAGTCACCTTGGTACACAAACTTCACCATGACTTCAAAAAAGGGAAGTAAGAAGTAGGGCAGGACGACACAGGGGTGCAAGAAAAACCGGCTGACTGCCCAGTGAATGAAGAGAGAACAGCTTCAAGGTGCTCAAATGAAGTGAAAAAAAGCTTAGGTAAGGAAGTGAAGAGGAGTGGGACATGGACTGAAATGGGATGAAATGAATACATCTTTTGATTTTGATTTATGCAAGGTTCAAGTTGATTTGAGGCATTTCTGGTTAGAAAACTGTTTGTACTTCTGATTAAAAGCCTCCTGCTGTGGATGCTTGGGGAAGATTTTTCTAAACTTGCTCCATTGCCACAATGTCTGATGTCATAATCACACAAACATGAGGAAGAAAAAAAGAGGTTAGTGGTGCTTCTTTGTGCATTTCTGAGGACAAACAAACCTATTTATACCCTGATTCCCTCTTGCCCCTCGCTCCCATCTCTGGGTGTATTTTCTGTTGCGTAAGGTGGCGGCTGCTGAACAAACCGAGTCAGTGCAAGTGCTCCAGCAGCAGTAATCACTGCCGTCGCTGTACCACCACTTGGCAGGAAGAAACGACAATCAACAAAAGAATAAATATAGAAGATGGAGAGCAGCCCAGTTCTCATGTCTAAATCAACAGATTTACAGAGAGAGGACTGGGAAGTGTGTGTGTGTGTGT